ACGTCCACATGTATGATTTGATTTTGCTCTTTATAGGCAAAGCAGGTCTTACACTTCAGATAAGGAAATCCAGACCCAAAGAGGTTGTGATTTACTTATTCATTAATGGAGTCATTAATGGAATGGCAAGGCTGCTCAGTTTGGGATTTTAATCCAGTCTTTTATATTCAGTCTTTGATTCTTTCTTTGCCAGGCCACCTTGCTCCATCTCCTAATAAACTTCTTTTGTGTTCACCGGTTCTTTTTTTTTTTTTGGGTGGTACTGGGATTTGAACTCAGGGCCTCACGCTTGCTAGGTAGGTATCTACCACTTGAGCCACTCCACCAGCAATAAACAAACTTTTTTTGTTTGAAGAACTTAAAATTTTATCTGTCATAGTTAATTGTAGAAGTAGTATTTATTTTGGTCCTCTGCGGGTTATTGTAAGGCATTGAGTCCTTTCTTCCCTTTTATCCAACTCTACCCTGTTCTTGAAAAAATTAGTTGTAAAAAGACAGGCTTATATCATTATCTTACCTTATACTTAGGCACACAGTTGACTTTGTGTTAATTGTGAATATGTTGACAAGTTATGTTTTATGACTTTGGAACGAGAAAATTATTTTCCAGGTGATTTTTTTTTTTTTTTTTTTGGTACTGGGGTTTGAACTCAGGACCTCAAGAGTGCTAGGCAGGTGCTGTACCCCTTGAGCCATTCCACTCTGCCAGCCCTTTTTGTGTTGGGTGTTTTCAAGATGGTGTCTTGAACTATTTGCTTGGGCTGGCCTAGAACCTCCATCCTCCTGATCTGCCTCCTGAGTAGCTAGGATTACAGGCATGAGCCAGTATCGCCCAGCACAGTTTGCACCTTCTTTTTTTCTTTTTTAAATATTTCATGTTTGTTTTTATTATGTTAGGTGTTTGTTGTGGTGCTGAGCCTCATTAATGCTAAGTAATCACTCTACCACTGAACTGCATCCCAGCCCAATTTGTACCTTCTTGACTAGGTTTTTTTTCATAATGATTTTGTTTATTTATTATTTTTAAAATAAATTTTTTATTAGGATATATTCATTATACTGGGGAGGGATTCATAGTGACAATTCCGATTAGACTTATATTGTATGTTATTTACATTGCCCCCATCATCTCTCCTCCTGAGCCCCGTGCCCACACCATTAAAGCAATTACAAGAGGTTTCTTAGTTCTGTTTCATGTAGGTGTATGAAGTTCATCTGCCATACACCGTCACCTTAATCTCCTTCCTTCACCTTCCCCTCTCCCAAGAATCTTTCTTGAACCAATGGCAACTGTTTTTTGTTTGTTTTTTAAATTTTTTTTGGTGACACTGGGATTTGAACTTAGGGCCTCACACTTGTTAGGCAGGTGCTCTACCACTTGAGCCACTCCACCAGCCACCTCTTGACAAGATTGAAGAACTTTATTATTCATTACTGGCATCATTCCATGGAAGATGTATGCTCTGTGTGTGTGTGTGTGTGTGTGTTGTGTGTGTGTGTGTGTGTGTGTGTGTTTGTGTGTAAGTGGTGCTGTCTGTGGGTCAAATCCAGGGTTTTGTGCATGCTAGGTAAGTACTCTTAGCACTGAGCTCCACCCCCTCACCTTTTGGGTAGCTTACACAAGTTTTATTAGCTTTGACAAGATGCTGTTGTTCTTCCTTACCTTTGTGCTGCTTTTTGTTTTAACTTTTTAAACTTGAAAATGTTAATATTTGAAAATAAATATATTAACCCTAAACTGTTAGGTTTTCTGGATTCTGAACAAGGAGTTGAGGAGGAAATAAATTTTAATGGAAACAAATGTGAGTCTGTGAGTGAGAACAAGTTGGTGGCTTGCAGACCAAAGATGACTAAGGTCTTAGTGTCCCACATCAGAGAAGAACAGATGTCTGGATGATGAGTAAAAAAGAATAACCAAAAGAAACCAATGAGGTGAAGAATAGAAAAGAATTAGTTCTAATTTAGAGTTGAGTAGTTACAAAAGTATTTCACTCAGGTTTCATGTGTTCCCTCATTTTGTGCTGAGATTAAAGGTGCTCAGGGAAAGAATCAGAATTGAAAAATCAAATCAGATCTTGACTTTTAGAAGTCCTCTTTTGGGCCTGAGGTTCATGTAAAGCTTGATGAAAAACATGTTGTGTATCTCTTGGGTTTGGAAGAGAGACAGGCTGTAGAGCTTAGGTAGTAGGAGAGGGCTGAGTGAAAGAATTTGGATTAATCAGGTGGTTAAATAAGTCTTTATGTCCTTGGCTGGAATGTAGTTAAAGAAGAGGCGCTCTCCAACCTAAATTGCAGTTGAGTCAGAGAGAGAATATGAATGAAAGAATAAGACCGGGCAAATTGACAGCAGGGATAAGTATAGATTTGTAGGGTCTACTCTTTTTTTAAAATTATTATTATTATTATTATTCTCGATGGTACTGGGGTCCAAATGCAGGGCCTGTGCTTGCTATAGGCATGTGCTTTACTTGAGTCATGACCCCAGCCCTTGAAAATACTTTTTATTGGCAAATTATTTGGCTTTCATGATGTAAGATCTTTATTCAAATTCTGTGCATTTGTGGTCAGGAAGGAAGGAAAAAGGCAGGCAGGCAGGCTAATTTAAAAACAAGATAAATAGCTCTATGGGCTAAAATGGGAGGGGAAGTTCTTTGAAGCGATACATTGTTATATGCTTTTTTTAGTTTAAAATTATGAAAGTTTTCAAACACATGAGACTAGAATAAACTTTTCAATAATCCCAATTCAGTTATCAAGTTTTTAATCATATCCATGCTACTTCCCCCTTTTTTCTTTTCTTTTCTTTTTTTTTTTTTTTTTTTGGTGGGACTGGGGTTTGAACTCAGGGCTTCATGTTTGCAGAGCAGGTGCTCTACCTCTTGAGTCACACCTCCAGTCCATTTTGTTCTGGTTATTTTGGAGATGGGGGTCTCACGAACTATTTGACCAGGCTGGCCCGGAACCATGATTCTCCTGATCTCAGTCTCCCAAGTAGCTAGGATCACAGGTATGAGCCACCAGTGTCCAAGGCTGCACCCCCCCCGACCTGCTTTTTTTCCCTTATATTTTCTTTGCTGAAATGTTTTAAAGTAAATCCTGGGCATCGTGCCATTTCACCTCTGTTTACCTCAGTGTGTGTCTTTTGACAGTGTGGACATTTTCTTACCTAACCACAATGCCATTGTTATACCTAGTTCTGGTATATAACCCGATTTGGTTATCACTAAAGTATCTTTTTATCTTTGGTGGGTCTGTTGAAATCAGAATCTAACCAAAATCGCATTCATTGTGATTGGTTGTTATATGTTCTAAATTTTTCTTAGCCTGTACCAGCCCCTCCCAGCCTCTACTTTGGCTTTCCTCCCATGTCACTGACTTATAGGAATCCAGTCAGTTGAACTGGATATTGTCCCATGTCCAGAATTTAGCTGATACCTTGTTTTTTTAGCCCATCTCTCACCCTGCATTTCCTGTAAATGACCTTTTTGGTCTCAGTACTCTTTTGTACTCTTTATTTACTGAGAGCTTCAAGGATTGTTAGTTTACATAGGTTATCTATCGATTTTACTGTGTTAGAAATTAAAGCTGAGAAAAAATTAAAATGTTTACTAATTCAATTGACTAACACAGTAACAAACCCATTACTCGTTATCACAAACACACATTCCTAACGGGAAATAACTATATTCCCCAATCACATTTGCCCATCTCTGGTATTAGTCTGCCTGAATAGGAGAATAGACTTTTCCTGTCTGCTTCGGTACTAATTCCCTTGTCATGTCATACACCATGTAGCCAAAGTAAATTTGGAAAGCTACACTATATATGCCTGAGACAATTGGAGTGAAAGAGTAAATGATGACCTAGTATTAAGAGGATGGTTTTGACCTCATGGACTACCCAGTGAAAGGGTCTCCTGGCCCAAACTGAGAAACACATGCCCCAGAAAAGCTTCAAAGAAGAGACAGTACTGGAGCTAATCTTATTTTGATTTTATATTTTTCTTTTTTTTTTTTTGAAGTACTAGGACTTGAAGTCAGAACTATGTGCTTGCTAGGCAAGTGCTCTACCGCTTGGTTAGATTTAGGCTCAATGTTTTAGTAAGAGTACTTCATGGTGCTTTATACTTCATATTTTATCACTAGGAGACATGCCATATCTGGTCATCTCATATATTGATTCTAATACTCATTGGTGGGCCTGGTTTTTACTCAGGCAGTAGTAACATTGCTTGCTATTAGTGGTTGTGAGCATACGGCTTCATCATCTTGATTAGCATTCCATGGTCTTTACAGTTTTTCTTCATAGGAGGAAAACATCTTCATTGCTGAGGTTTGACTTTTAAAATGAATTTGGACAAAATCCTTATGTAACATAGATTTTTAAGGCTTTCTCCCTCATTGTAATGTTTTTTCCATCTGGTACTGCCTTTTTCCTTTGGTTATTCTGTCTTTTCTATGTTGAAGTAATTGTGATGTTAGGTAGTCTGGGTGATCTCGTTCCTTGTTAAATCTGCATGTCCACGAAAATATGATGGAAAAGTCATAGCTGCAGGATTTGGACTCTTGTCGTTGAAAAGGACTGGAGGGATCAGCTGCCCTCCTCCTCTATTTTCCAACGGGGGCACGAGGGAAAGAAAGAAGGCCCAGAGAAGTTAATGGTGTAACCATCCTAGAACAGGTAGGTGGTAGCAGAGTTGAAACCAGAGACTGACTTTCCCAAGTCTTTCCCCCTCATTCTACCATCATTTATACTATGCACCTAGTTAAATATGGAATGACAATGTAGAGCTTTGTCTTTTTGCCATGCATTATGTGCTTTGTGGAGATTGTGTCTTTATAGAGTACTGTTTCCGTGCTTACACTTAGTGAAAAAGTACCTTGTCTTACTCATCCTTACAGACTTTTAACATTTAGAATCAATGTGACAATTTAAAGCATGGTTGTTTTCTTAGTTAGACTAAAAACTGTTCTCATTTTGACCACTGTTTTGCCTAACAGGAAGCCTGCAGACCTGCAGAACTTAGCTCCCGGGACCCACCCTCCATTTATAACTTTCAACAGTGAAGTCAAAACGGATGTAAATAAGATTGAGGAGTTTCTTGAAGAAGTCCTATGTCCTCCCAAGTGAGTATCAATGAAAATGCATGGAGATAGTGCCGCGTCTTTGAAGCTTTGTTTTGTTTGTCCTCAGACTTTTTTCCTGTGGTATTACCTAAATTACAGATACCCAGTTTTTTGCATCCTCTTGTACTCTTGACATAAATTCAAAGAAATATTAGTTTCTTTTAGACTTTTACAGTTGCATTACTCAGAAAACTGATGTGTTTCTTTTCCTCTGGCCCACACCTTTCTTTCTAGTTAACTTTTACCTCCATGTCTGGATAAACTTCCCAGGAGTGGGGTTGCTGGAGTATTCTAAAATAGGTGCTCAATATTTATTAATTTGTCTGTTCATTTCATTCATTCTTCAGACAGTTACGGGACAGCAAAACTGTGGATAATAGTGAATAAGACACAGTCCTGTCCTCAGCAAGCAGTCAAGTATGAGTGAAGAGGCAGGATGGGGTGGTGAGTAGAAGCAGGAAAGATTTTAGAGTACAGATTTTTACTTATTTTGGCAGTACTGGGGTTTGAACTCAGGGCCTCATAATTTCAAGGAAGGTGCTCTGCTGCTTGAACCACTCCACCTAGGAAAGGCTTTAAGAAGAGACAGTACTGAAAATAACCTTATTTTTATTTTATGTTTTTGTTTTTTGGCAGTTCTGGGGTTTGAATTTAGGACTTATGTGCTTGCTAGTCAGGTGGTCTACTGTTTGAACCATGCCTCCAGCCCCAAGCCTTATTTAGGGGGGAAAAAAAAGCACCCGACAGTGAATAAAGAAATTTCGGCATTTTTAGGACAGAGGCTCATTTTGGATAAATAGTTTCTTTTGTGGACCTGTAGTGAAGGCTGGAGTGCAGTATGCAGGATTGGGTACAGTAGGCAGGAAGGCTACTAGGGGAAGTACGAGTAGCCATGTTCTGTTGTCTGCTGTGAACAGAAGTGCCCTCTGCTTAGCAGTCTTGTGCTAAACCTAAAATTGTATTCACGTCATCTTTTTTTTTTTTTTTATACTAACTATAAAAGCCTCCCATCTACTTTCCCTTTTTCCTTCTAAGAGCATCAGACTTCTTTTAGCTCCACTTGCCAGGAGTCTTAGTTTCCTTTCCTCTCTAGGAAAGTATCCCTAGAGCATTAATAAAACTATCTTAATTTTCCTGCAGACTGTCCATATAGTTAGAATACCAATAAATGAGGACTGAGCTCTTGGCAAAATGTGAAGGGCAGCTTTACACGCACCAGTGAGGCGCTATTGGGCATACCTTTAGCAGCATGTTCAACAGTGGAATCTGTTGAAAGATGCAGCTTTTGAGTTTTATTTATTTATTATTTTAAAATTTATTACTCTTTTTTTTTTTATCTCCCCTCTCCCCATCAACTTTTGAACTTGTGCTCCAACACTGATTGAAAATGGTCTTCCTCTCATGCGCTCATGGATCATTGTATTGATACTATTATAAATGGAGAAGCACTTTGAATGACTTACTCATTCTCAATGACAGAAACTGTGCTGTTTCCAGGTTTCTTTATTGGCAGCACTGGGGCTTGAACTCAGGGTCTCATGCTTGTTAGGTAGGTGCTCTATCGCTTGAGCCACTCCACCAACCCTTTTTTGTGTTGGGTATTTTTGCAATGGGGTCTCGCTTTAGTTGCCTGGTCTGGCCTCGAACAATGATCCTCCTGATCTCTGCCTCCCAAGTAGCTAGGATTATAGGCATGATCCTCTAGTGCCCATGAAATGTTTATTGTATATTTTAAGCTTTTAGAATCAGTGTGCTAAAAAAAAAAAACAACAGTCAAGAGTTGGTGGAGTGGCTCAGGTGGTAAGAGCACCTGCCTAGCAAGTGTGAGGCTCTGAGTTCAAACCCCAGTGCCGCCAAAAAAATGAAACAAACAAACAAAAAACCCCAGTCAATATGCTGATAACACCACAGTTTTGAATTGGACCTTAGAAATGAACATTTTCACTTTGTTTTTTTTTAGGGGGTGGTGGTGCAGTATTGATGTTTGAACTCAGGGTCATGCTCGTTAGGCAGGCACTGAACTACTTGAATCATGCCACCAACCCATACTTTTTTTTTATATAAAAATTTCACCCCTATTTTGTTTGGGCAAGTTCTTAGGGATGCTATAACCAAGCATCCCTGAAACCAGTTTAAACTGGTTTAAGTTTAAACACTTGGAAATCTGTCTACAGTGTGCTAAGTTCTCTCCATCATCGTGGTGGTGATAGTGGTGGTGCTGCTTCTTCTTCTGTTTCTTTCTTCATCATCATATGTTATAGTTTATATTCTGCAGAGAGTTTCTGAGTAAGATTTAAAGTTTCATTTTTTGTAGAAGGAATTATTTTTTGTGCTGCTTTTGCCTCTGCTGTTGGTAATGACACTCAGGTGCTAGGTGCCCTGCACTGTGTTTTGTGGATTATTTTATGAATTATCTCAGTCCTCATAAAGACTTCATGAAGAAACTGAAATTGAGGAATCCAAATAACTTGTACAGTTAATGGTGTCAGAGCTGGGGTGCTTTTAAATCCAGGTTGATGGGATATTAAAAGCATGTGTTTCCTCTGTTCTTTGCTTTTTCTCATTTCATTGGGTTTGGCTTTTATAAAAGGCAGAATGTAAGTCCTTAACTGAGATTGTGCTACAATGAGTACAAAAGTGAAGGCTAGCCCAAGTGTAGAGGAAGAGAGAAATGGAAGATAGATGACATTATGACATGGAAGTGGTTGTCAATTCAGTGTGCTTTAAAAACAAGTGGGATTTGATTTCTGATGAGTTCTCATTTAGTTACATGCATTCAAATAACATGTTTGGTCAGGGAGTGCCTTCCCCTTTGTGGTCTCTGCAGCCCATACTGTGAAATGCTGGCCAAACAGCATGACCTCTGTCATGCAGAATTGTTTCTAGAAGAGACATGGAAGGAGGAAGCATTTCTGGGACCACCACCTGACTCTTCTCCCTTTTCTCTGTGGTCCTATGTTCTATGACATTCATGTTGGGATCATCCGGGGTCTTTAGGTCTCCTGTGCTCTCTAGATAGGTTGAGGACAAGAGGTAGAAGAGCCATTAAAGCAGGTAGACTAGAACCCAGCATGTCTAGTAACTTCGTTTTGGACTTGGGTGATGCTAAAACAGAGTGTTTTTATGTGAGCACTCCTCATTTAAAATCATGACATATGCAAATACAGATACTCTAGAGTCTGAAATTTAGAGACTGATGGAAAGCTTGACTTAAAGAACTTTTGCTGGTGTGTGAAACTAGTCTCTAAAATAATCTTTCTCTTTTCCTCTGGGGAAAGTATTTCTGATTTTTTAAAGTTCATCTTGCTTGAATGGAAGAACCACTTTGCCAAAAAACTTTGAAACTTAGGCTTTTTACCTGAGTGATACTTGGCTAATATACTGAGAGAAGGATAATAGATAAAAGAACAGATAAATTTGGAGGACAGCTCTATAAACGTTAACCTTTTTTCAAGTTTGAAATAGAATGCAAAAGTTTATAAGAATTTTTTTTTTTTCCTGCTGTACTGAGGCTTGAATTCAGGGCCTACACCTTGAGCCACTCCATCAGCCATTTTTTTTTTAAGGGTCTTTTCGAGGTAGGGTCTTGGAAAGTACTTGTGAGGGCTGACTTCAAACCTCAATGCTCTTGATCTCTGCTTCCTGAGTAGCTAGGATTACAGGCGTGAGCCACTGGTGCCCAATACAAGAGTAATTTAATAGGTTGTATAAATAGCCTTTTTCTTATTTAACACAAGAAAGGAGAAAATGTCAGATTTTTCCTAAGAGGATGGGAATATTCTCAGCTAGTCTACCACTAGTAATCTGTGATGTACTACAGAATTAAAGGGTTGAAAATCTAAATGCCTGGGTGCTCACATCTGTTTTATCATGACACACAGTCTTTTATGAATTATTTGCCTCCCTTTTAAAAACCAAGTGTTAAAGTGAATGCTCACAATAATTGAAAAGACATTACTTGATTAAGCTGTTTGCCAAAGCTATAAAACTGGATGAGTTAAAATGTTATGTTTTAGGGAGATGCAAAAAAAAAAAAAAGGCAACTGATTTTGGATCTAGTGGTTTAGAATTAAATTTATCTGTTAGAATCTGATATGTAGCAGAAAAAAAACCCCACTGGACTTTGGGACAGGAAATCTGAGTTTCAGTTTCTGAGTAATTTTAATTAGTTGGGTGATAGTAGGAACCAAATATAAGCTTTCAGGAACATAGCTGCCTTTTAGTCAAAATGAGAGATCTGAGGTGCGTGATGTCTTGAAGTTACAGTTGCTTATTTGTTAAGTTGGTACTACACATTTAATAATTGATCTCAGTGGGGAACAATAGGGAATGTAACTACTTTAGAGAACAGTGTGTTTTAGAATTTTGATAGCATCTGTTTCTGTTCACTCAAATAGATTTCTAGTTGAACTCTTGCATATTTCAGAAGTAGTCATTGTGCCTCTGTGTGTTCATCAGTACATCTCCAGCACTTAGTACAGTGCCTGGCACATAGCGAATACTCAGTTACTATAGAAATGATGAATATATAAATGATCTGAAATTCAGGTCTGCCTTCATGTAAGTAATGTTGACATTTACAGTGTTTACTTCATTAGAAAATGTAGGTAATGCTAAAAACTGCTTGAGTTAAAGAAGAATTCTTAACTCTTGATTAGAGGAGAGCATGGATGTATTGAAGAGGTACTTGTGTTCTCTGCAATAGTTTCTATTATGAATGAGTCAGGGAAGGTCCTGAATTGCAAGTGGTGAAAACATTTAAACTGGAGAGCTGTTGTTTTTATAGTCAAGGAAGTCCAGGAATGTTGGATCTGGGATTAACCATTCACCACAGGTATGGAGTGCATGTGTGCTTTCTATAGTTAGGGTGGAAAAAATTATGCACATGCATAAGCTCAGATAAAACTCATTTATTTGTTCACTAAAAAACTCTTTAATTGTGTCAGTTGGGAAAATCTTTAAGTTTAAAAATTGTGAGATATTTGAAGAGTAGGCAGATCTATTAAGAAGAAAAATAGGTTGAGCATATAGGTGACCAATGGATATTTTATGTCATCCTTACCAATGCAGTATTATGCTTGGTTTTTAGAAGATACATCTTTTCCTGCATTCTAGTAGTAAACAGAAGAAGTTTAAAGCTTGCTAACAATACAACAGAGCACTCACTCAGTGTGACCTTATGATTCTGTTGATCAGTGCTACCTTCATAAATACACTAGGGAATAGTTAACACATCGGGGTTTTGGAAAGGCCTGGGTGTGGGTTTGAAGTGAACAGCTCCTGCTGTTTGTCCTTACCCTGCTGTGGATGATCAAGCGTCTTGACCACACTGGCTCTTCTCTGGTCCTGCTGTGCAGCACCGGCTCAGTGCATGGCATACTGAGGATCTGGCCCAGGAGGCTCTGGAGCTGTGCTGTCCAGTGACTACCAAGTACTTGGAGGAAGTGAAGTTCTGCTTTATTTAATGTGGTTCACTTCAGTTCACATTCGCATCGCTCCCTGTCACTGATGGCTACCATATCGGGCAGTGAAGACTACAGAACATTTGTACTGTCACAGAAAGTTCTCTTGGACAGTGCTGCTGGAGAGATCTCATTCTTAGACACCATTGGCCTGGCACAAATCTCTTTAACAAGTTGACTATTTCCGTAGCATTCTAATTTATCAAATGGAGGTGGAGTGCGGATGCCCTTTGATTGCCAAGAATGTTAATAAGTTAACAAAAGCACCGCACAGAGCTTTGTTTCCTAAGGAAAAAACATGTAAAAATATCGTAGAAAGTGGATGATGGCGTTTCTTAGTGTAGGAACTGTTCATAGATACCTGTTACCACTAGCGCAATGGTGTGTTGGCTGATAGAACTTTGAAGGACTGTAATCTAGTATCACCTTTTCCATTTAGGTACTTAAAGCTTTCACCAAAACATCCAGAATCAAATACTGCTGGAATGGACATCTTTGCCAAATTCTCTGCTTACATCAAGAACTCAAGGCCAGAGGCAAATGAAGGTAAAAAAAATAAATTGAGTTATCGCTGAAAAAAAAGCCTCAAAGAGTTAAGAGCTATTATTGTCACAGTGCTTATAACTGAAAACTTTGGAGTCTAAGCATTCCCATAGTGCTAAAAACCAGCTTTAGAGTTGATCAGAGATTTGATGGCAGACTGGAATGAGTCCTTAAATTGCCATTTTTCTAACTGGTGCCTCAACGCTTGACATAGAGTGGATGGATGATGAGGTGGTTATTGAATGAAGTTGTTCTTACATTCTTTTGAGAAGCTAACATGATGGGGAGCTATACAAAGAATTAAGAGTAAAGCAGAGATGATGGCACAGAGCCCTGAATTCAAACCCCAGTGCTTTCTCCCCTCCACCCTCCAAAAAAGGTGTGTAGTTTTGGTTTGAAATAGAGTGGTTTAGGGTCACTTAAACTATTACTAAATCTTTTGCTTATTGTTGGGTACCAGAAGCCTGAAGTTGGCCTGGGTGCTTTTTTGTGTGTGTGCGGGCTAATGACCCTTACAGAACAGTTTTTAGAGTCGTTTCCAGCTTTCTAAATTTCTCTGCATCATAAAACTGGAATTTGTGTTTCAAGTCATATTTTCATGGTGAACATTGTTTACATAGTATTGATGTGATTTATTTTGATTTATTAAAGGATACTTATTTGATTTACTGAACTTAGGTATGGTGAAGTGGGGAGACTTTCACAGTGGTACAGTTTGTGAATCTTGTCTGACTACGCCACTCAGTAATTTCCTGTTCTCTTCTCCTTGGGATCTTGTCTTTTTTTGGCAGTATTGGGGATTGAACTCAGGACCTTTTTGCTCACTAGGCAGGTCCTCTTACCACTTAAGCCACTCCGCCAGCCCCATCTGTGAGATCTAAGCACTGTTCTTACTGGGGAAAACTGTGTAGAGAGAGCATTAGTGTCTAGTTAAAAGTTATAGCAATAATAAAAACCCTAGTTCCTAACACTATTTAAATTTGTCGTAGATTTAGACAGTTTGGTAGCTTGGGTGGAGTTCTAAATGTTTATGGCAGTAGAGAAATAAGACTACCAAGGGGGAAGTGTCAGTGCTAGTTAAAGAGGAACAAATACCTTTTTAAAAAGTGAAATGCATGCTAATTTCCTTATATTATTTCAGTAGGCAGATTTCCAAGCTATTCAGGCTATTTTTTATTATTAAAGTTTAAAATTATAGCATTCTATAATTTAATATTGAATTTCAATATCTTTTCCTCTTGGCTTCTGCAGTAATGTTCACTGCATGAAATATTTTTCTACAGTAAAGGGAGAAAGGGGAAAATTTTAGTACCCAGGGCTGGCTTGCGCCTGTTTTTATAATGTGGTCCACTAGCTGCCTTGGTTTGGAAGCCATTTTCTTTAGTAATTGGCCTCTTTTCTGGCTAATTTATACCCTAACCAGTGGTTATGCTGAAGCCCCTCCTTCCCACAGTGTCTCCTCTGTTGTCGCCTGCCTTCATTCAGGCCACTGTTCTTTTCATGAACTATCCATCTATACCCACATCCTCCTGCTGAGCAGTTCTTACAGTCACATTGTTTTCATTTCTTCTTGTGACTTTTGAGGGCTGGAGGGTGGTTCTGTTTCTTCTGCGCTTGTGGGAGGAGAGGGAAATAAAGTGAGTTTTCTTTTTTTTTTTTTTTTTTGAGGATGAGATAGGGAAAGAGAATGTGACTCACTTAAGTATAACTTTTTCTTCTGTTTTTTCCTATCAATTAGTTACTTCTTAAGTAGCCACCTACACTGTTGTCATCACAATGCTGTAACCAGCAAGTACAAACATAACTTAGAACTTTATATTAGATGACCTATTGGTAAATAAGAATTCCAGTTGCCAAGCAACCTTCTCCCAAAGAGACTTGTCATGCCATGTGACTTTAGAAAACAATATTCCAAATCACTTTGGAGTTGATGCAGGTCTCTTATCTGTCTGTTTAGTTCAATTAAATGCCTTTAATGAGCCTAGAAAGTTAGTGACCCACCATCTCATCTCTCCAGACACCCACCCAAATACTGAGAGTTTTACACAGAGATGAGTTTGCCAGTTTTACGTGGTACATGAAAGTAGACAAGTCTTTAGTTTTATCAGTGTATTAAACTTTATAAAATCCAATGTTTTCATAATTTTAAGACCTTTTAGGACCTAATTCTAAGGATGGGATTAGATGTCTAGGTGTTGTAGCATTGGGATAGCGAAAGAAAAACAAGGACCAGTGCTTAAGATTGGAGTGCAAGGTGAATAAATATTTCAAAAGTAAAATAAAGGGGATAGATGGATACAAAGAAAAAAGAAGGGAGAGAGAGAGAGAGGAAGAGAGAGAGAGAGATAGAAAGAAAGGAGACAAAGAAAAAGAGGAAGAAGGAAGAGAGAAAGTAAGTTACAGTTCTTTTGGTAACAGGTCTAAGTTGACTGGGAGTGAAAGTTTATGTAGTCTTTTAAGTAATAAAGGAGAAATGAATGGGTAATTCCTTTTATAGGGATGGATTAGCTATGACCTGTCCCAGATCTCCTGTTTTTTTCAGTTCTGTGATTTCATTAATGTATATAATTTACTAAGCACTGAAATATAACTCGTCTGTTGGCAAGAGAGACATGAATTTTTATTATGGACATTTGCCGTTATTTGCTCCAAGGTATATTTCACAGTGTCCAAATTTCTAGTTTTAAATGGAGGTAAGGAATCTAGAGGTTCTGATTAGTTCCATTTTATTCAATATCCAGCCCATCCGTCCCTGGCTGTCTCCCCTCTTGTCTCTTTTGCTTTCTTACTTGCTCTAGCTTTCAGGAAAAGCATTTGAGTGTGAGGATGGGTGTTGGTTACTGTAATTAGGAAAGCACATTGTTTAGCCATCTTTATGTCCTCCTTATCCCTCTCCATTTTCTGCTGCTATATAACTACCTTTTAAAAGTTGTGTGAGCTTTCCTTGTATTAAAGTAGTTTTATCCATGTAAAGTGCTCATAGTTTTAGAATACTCTTTGTTGTGAATTGCATTGTATTTTTTGTTCTTTTTTGTTTTGTTTTGGTGTTTTGTTTGTTTTTCGTGGGGCTGAGATTTGAACTCAGGCCTTCACGCTTGTAAAGCAGGTGCTCTACCACTTGAGCCACATGTGCAGTCTGCATTGTGTTTTTGTTTGTTTGTTTGTGGTCGTGGTAGTGCTGGGGATAAAGCCAGGGCTTCTCTCATGGCTGAGTGCTCTACGACTGAGCCACATCCTAGCTTAGCCCGTTTGTATTGGGTTTTCTTTTTTATCACAGAAATGCTTATGATATAGTTAACATCGCCTGCCTTGAATTTTACTTATTCAAATCATGCAAGTAATACAGTAATGTGTGCTTATTTGAAAGTTACAATAGTGTAGAAATAAATTTACAACTCCAAGGTCTCTCCTTAGTCACATTACATAATCTCTTCCCCAGCAATGTTTTTTATCTTTTTTTCTGTGTAATTTCACAGATTTTTTTTATATGTTTATATGAATATTCACATTATGCAGTTGTTATTTTCACTTATTATGTAGTAGAAAACCTTCCATGTCAAAATACAGGTGTAGCTCAGGTTTAAAAATTGCTATTTATCTTATTTAACCATTAATGGACATTTAGATTGTCTCAAGTTTTCTACTTTGACAAATAGTGCTGCTAGTTACTGTCCTTGAGCCAGATTCCACATAGGTCAAAACTGTGCCTTTAAAATTTTTCTGTTTTTCCAAATTATTCTCAAAGTCTGCAGCGGTTTACATGCCCACTAACCTGCAAGCGTTCAGATACTTCTGACCCTGTGGGTCACACCCTGTGGGTGTGTGTGCGCGCTTTAAATCTTAAGTTTTGTTATATTCCCATAGGTGGCCTCTGTTCTTACTCTTTTGAGAGCGTTTGGATGCCAGCATCGCTACAGCAGGGGTGTTGGAGAATAATAATGCTACTCAGTAATTTCAGGACAAGGAACTAGTTCCCGGTGGCCTGCTGCTGCCTTCTAGTGGTTAATCTTGTCATTTTCCTTATCTTAACTACAGATTCCTTTTGTGGTTGGTCTATAAAACTTTTTAGTGTTTCTGGTACCTTGAAGTACCCATTATGTTTGGAAATATCTTATGTTGATACATAAAAATTATATGAAACTAATTTATCACTTTTTGTTTTCTTTGGTTCTTTAACAATCTTGAGATTCTACTCTTTCTCCTTTTTTTTTCCTTCTTTTAAGTACAGCCATGAAAAGGTTTACTGACCTTTCTGTTTCTTACACTGGCATTCTCTTGTTAATTTATAAGGTTTACTTTAGGTAACTTTATATAGTTAATAATTTATCTATTCATTGCATTTTTAACCTTATTTTATTTCTTTTTTTTTTTAATTTATTTTTTGGTATTTTAAGACAGGGTCTTATGCGGTTGCCCAGCAATCTTTTATTTTTAAATGGCTGGATTCCCCATTACTTCTCAGTTCCAACTGAGCTTTCCTAATTCCTCAACTTTATTTTTCAGGGTTCCAGTGCCCTCTGCTCCTTATCTGTTTTCTTTAAGAAATAAGCTAGCTTGCTGGGGGTGTGGCTCAAGTTGTAGAGCCCATGCCTGCCAAGAATGAGGCTCTGAGTTCAAGTTCCATGCCCCCTTCTCCAGTAGAAAAGAAATAAACTAACTTGATTGTGGCTATGGCTAGGTTGACCTTGAATTAATAAAATGTGTAGTCCTATCACTTGAGGTAATACTTTCTAATTGTTTGATGTTTACCTAGCTAAGGTTGGCCTTGAACTCACTATGTAACCCAGGCTGGCCTCAAACTAAAAGTCCTCCTGCCTCAGCCTCTCTTCAGTGCTGGGATTACAGGCATGCACCACCATTTCTGGCTTCTTGTTGCTTTTTCTATGAGCCTTTAAAACTCACTATTGAGTTTGTAATTCCAAGTCACAACAAATCATATTCCAAGATGTCAATTTTTTCTTTGATGCTTATAGTGGACAAAGATAAATTCTCTAGTTCTTTAT